CAGACAGAGAACTTAGATTGGAAATGTTGATGCACAAAGTTCTGGTGTGACTACTCAAAGGATAGCTCACCTGTGTGAGAAGGAAAATCCTAATTCAGTTACATACTGAAAACAAACAGGTAAACAGGAGTCCTTCACTAGGAGGTTCTTCCCACTCTGCTCATGAGCATTTGGATTCTTCCAGGTCTCCTCATTGTATGGATATCATGGGTAGATCAAGCATTGTGGAAAGGTCCCTCATTCTGCTCTTGTCCCTTTACACTGAGTGCAGGGACCACATTTAAAGAAAGGATCACTAGAAAGTGTGTGAGAGGCAGGAGGGCTTGTCTGGAACAGCTGAGGAAGGAGAGGCATGCATAAATAAATAAAAAAAAATCACCCACTTTACTAAAATCCAATCACAGAGGGTGTCAAGGGGGAGAATAGATGAGCTGGTATTAGAGGCAAGACTGTGAGAGGCAGAGCTCTAGCAGATATGTAAAATAATTTTGTGCCTCATTAGGCAGTCCCAGGGTGTCATACATAAAAGGACCAACCCCCAAATTGTGTGACACAATTTCTATTCTTTGCCCCTTTGAAATCCATCTAGAATCCACATTCTCACCCTAGTGTCATGAGAGTGTCAGAATCTGTTCAGGTAGGAGATATTAAGAGTAAAGCTGACAGAATGGGCTCTAAACCTTGTTTACCCTTCCCTCACCCATGCCGAAGCAGTGCCACACAGTAAGATTAGACACATTTCTCCTGATACTGGCTGTAATGAGAAACAAGAAGTAATAAGGTGATTTATTATCCCCTGTCTCTCCCAAAGACCTCAACATGCTGGCTCTGTCCTGCACTCCTTGGTGACTGGTTTCAGAGAGACAGAACTCTACTCACTCTTTTGCTGCAGCAAACTATCCTGCCTGTTCCCCAACACAAAGAAATGAGGAGACGAGGCAAGTTGCCAGGTTCTCAGAACTTTCCCTCATAAAAGCAATATATGTGCTTATTGTTCTTCTAGATTACAAAATTTGGAAAGGAGAAGAGAAAACGTAAATTGCACAGTTTATTTTATGGAATAGAAAACACAGCACCCCTGCTGCAGTGAAGTCCGTTGAGCACATAAATGTGTCGTGGCTTGATGGAGAGCACCATAGTCACTCAAATGAGTCAAGATTTCACAAGAGGACTTTCTACTGAGCTCAGCATGATTTACCAAAATTGAGGGAGAATGAAGAACTATGGAATGGCTTTAGTGGCTGTCTCCCAGCTTCAGACACTCCATCTCTTAACTACTGTCAATCTTCTGCACTCCCAGGTTTCCCAGGATCTTGGAGTCAGGGGCCTGTTGTGCCAAATGTTGTACTAACAGAAATGAACAAACAGTCATTATCCTGGAGATGTCATGAGGCTATCTCCAGATTTTTACTTTTTACACTTTAAATAATGTGCCTGAATGGAATCTAAAGGAGGCATGAGATATTTAATGTAGAATTTTGAATTTGTTCAGGATAAATTAGATTCTTGGCCTTTCATGCCAGAATGCTTTCTTCACCCTTGATCCTCTTGATTTCTTTGAGGCTTCTGGTGAAATAAAGGTGTAATGGATCCAAATCATGCTGCTGAAAGGCAGGCACCAGTATAGCTATTACTGGTACCACTGAGCATATAAGCAACAGCAGGGGATCCAGTTTCCCCTGCTGGCTGAATAGACAGCTTTCCAAAAGAGTGGTATTGGTACAATGATGGTATACTGCAAAGTTAAATTAATATTTCTTCTGTCTCACACTGTGTGGGACAACAAAAGTAGGGTGAGCAACTCAGGCTGCCCCTACGGCTGCCATAATCCAGCTTCTTATATCACTGATAGAAAGAAAAAGTCACAATCACTCAGGCTATTCTGTGTCATTTGTCAACCTGGTCCATTGGCTTCTTGAAGTCCCTAAAAATGTCTTCTGTTTTCACTAGGTTGGTCTTTGTAAGCCCTGCTGTGTCTGACAATACTGAAAGTAGTCTGCAGTACCTCACTTAAATGAGGCAGCACCAGTGTCACCCCAGATTATAATTACAAACTGTACTGATAGGCCCAGTGTCCTTCTTCATTAGAAATATAAGTTCCATAATGTAAATCTGGGAATCTAAACAGTTTTTTACGTATTGATTATGTTAAAGAGACAAGAAACAGAGCCAACAAGCTTGAATTTCAAAACAACTCAGCAGAAAAAAAGAAAAACCACAACGGTCCTTCTCTTAACATAGAGGATTATTCTGGAAGACAAAAACCTTAAAAATGAAGCTGGCATTCTGTTTGCAGAACCTACAGTGTTTATCTCATTGCTTTTGCAATATAAAAGAGCAGTATTTAAGTAAAAGCTAACTTTGGATATTTCTGTTAATACTGCAGGCAATTCTTTTGTATTCTCTTAGGGCCTTGTTCTTTCCTCTGAAACTCTCTCAGGCTCAGGTTGAATGAGGGTCTGAGCAACCTAGTCTAGTTGAGGATGTCCCTGCTCATTGCAGAAAGGTGGACTAGATTACCTTCGAAAGTTCCTTCCAACCCACACCATTCTGTGGCTCTAAGACTGTATGTGGCCAACAGGCTTAATTTGACATCTAATGTTTCTTGCTCTGCAGCAAGGATATAAAGGGGAAACCACATACCCCCTGGTTATTGCTTCCAGAACCTTACCACACAGTTCGTCTGGGTTTGGGGTCTACTTTGACACACCTGAAATGTACCACAGGGGGTACATGCTCTCCCTGTGTACCACAGGGAGAGCAATTTGAAGCCATCACTGAGCAGACTTTGGTCTGAGTGTCTAGTCCAGCACAGGGTCAGCACATGTCCCAGCTCAGTCCCAGTAGAGCTGTGACTGCATAAGACTGGTGCTGTGCCCAGAGTAATTAGATCTGCCTCTGAAGAAGAATAAGGAGCTTGGGCAGAATGACAGGGCAATGTAATTGTACTTCTTCTGGAACTAATTCAGGGACCACAGCATTAGGCTGAATTGCATAGCCTAGATATTTCAGAATTTATTAATTTTGAATTATCTTTTCTAAATACTCAGAAGGGAGAGATTTAGTGTTGCAGTTATAGGTACCATCCATCTCTCCCTCCTCCTTGTTTTAGCAGTGTCTCACATGGTGTTTTCTGTTTCAGTCTCAAAACCCATAGTGCAGCCACATGAGCCTTAGAACCCCTCCATGCTCCAGCCTCCATGAGGAGGCATGATTTGTCAGAGGACATCTGACGCAGCTTCCCATTCAACCTTGGAAAAGAACTTCTGCCATTTTCAGGATTGCAGAATGGAGAAGCACAACATTAAAGGAATGAAAACTAATGGTGTCAAGCACAAAGGAATCAGCCTAGGTTAATAATATTGGAAGGTCATTATTTTTGCTGGCTTTTCAGAGGGGTTTTTTTCAAAGCAGCTCAGATATGTTACTATGACAAGCACAGCATAAATGCTCAGCCAGACAATCAGACAGCGTACCTTCACCTTATTACGTGTGACTGAAACTGCAAACAGCTCAGATCAATCTCAGAGATATTAAATTAGAGCTGAGTCTCACTCTATCTCCCCTACAAAATGAGCTGAGCTAAATCTGAGATAATGCCCATATCAAGAGACATGACGAACCATATTCCACTGGGTGAAGATTTATTTTTAGTTTTTCCATAGAATATTTCTGATTATATGAACAATGGAAAAGAAGAAAAAATCTCAGCATTAGAAATGCATTGAATCTGTACATGCATTATGTAGCAGCTGGGGGTTCTGTCTTTAAGACAGAACCGAATTATGATTCTTGCATAATGTAACAATATGATAACTAAAAAGGAGGCCTGGGTTGAAATGGGTAGCAGATAATATTACAGAATTACAATAACAAGGTCATTTGAAAATGAGAGCAAGTAAGCAACTCAAGGAAAGAAAGTAGATATAATGAATAGAAAGAAAGCATTCATTATGGGGTGGGTGTAGAGCAAAGAGTGAGTTAGATTCCTAAACTAAATTGGCACATACAGGCCGCATTTATATCCCTGCAGTTTTGAAAAAACGTCTCCCATTCCCCATGCTGTTATTGCAGTTCTTAGGGGGATAAAAAGATCTTGCATCATAAACACTGAGCTGAGCAGCATTGTCATCATCATCATCACCACAGTAAACTGGTTTAGGTCATCTCAAATAGTCTAGTAGTTACTTTCTGGCTATACCTATATTTATGACCTCTGTCATAAATAGAACAGAGGCAGGTTATAGGCTAACATGCTGTCCTAAGACCACCCCAATTGATTATTGCTAAAAATTCTCTGACGTATTTTTGTCTTTTTGTTCTACTATTTTCCCAGACAGTTTCTGGACACTGATAGGGAATAAACTGGGTGAGGGACTTCCTTTCTGATGAGTGAGGGGAAAGTTTTGCCATGTGGAGATGAATTGTGCTGTGCCACTTGGCCTCAGGGGCAGACTGTGTTCCTCAGTCTGTTTTATTTGGTAGTACAAAATGAATCCTTTCAGAATCATAAAAGTCAAATAAGGTACCAGAAGACAGGAAAAAAGACAATCATAGTCATTATTCTTAAATAGGGAAAAGATTAGTCAATATCAATTTCTAGAAAAAAATCTAGAACAAATAATTGACTACACTATATGTAAGTCCCTGAAGGATAGCAAGAAGATAAATAATAGTCCACTGGAATTCATCACAAACATATTGCATTAAACTAATTTAATTTCTGTCCATAACGAGATTTTACAGCTAGGGCTGAAGCAGTTAATTTCGCATATTTTGATCTGAACACTGTCTTATATAACATTCTCATTAAGAGATTTCCACATATATAGCCTTGGTAGATCTTCTGTAGTGTGGGATAAAATTGACCAGATAACTATATGCTAAGAATATTTTCTCTGGTTCACTGTTCAGTTGGAATGATTTACTTTACTGAGTGGCATGCTAGAGGGATCTGTCTTGGATCTTACTCTACTTGACATTTTAATTAATCACCTGGATGATGGAAAAGAAAATATTAAATATTAAATTTGCAGTTGGCTTGAAGACAAGAAGGACAGCAAATGCATTGGAGGACAGAGCTAGAATTTAAGGAGAACTTGAAAAATAAAGTGTCAAATAGCATTCAAAGTGCATAAATGCAAGATATCACACTAAGGCAAGAGTAATCAGTGGTGCATATGGTACAAAAGTAATCAGGGTACACATGTGGTATACAGTATAACAACAGTACAACCAGTAAAGCACTCTTCTTCAAGACAGGTTCTGAAGGTTGTGAGGTACTTCTGTACCCTGTGGGGGTACCCAGGCATGGCTGTGCAATGGTAGCAAGCTTGTAGACTGAAGGAGTCAGGGCTAAGGACCCAACTCTCGTGGGTTCACTTTTAGAGGGTTTACTTGAGTCTGGCTCTAGTCTGGTCTTGTGGACTGTCCATCAGCAGAAAATGTTCAGTAAGTAGACTCTTGAGGAACATCGTTTGGTTTAGTTTTGTCCCAAAGAAAAGCAGGTCATGCACCTCAAGATTTCTCTGTAATACAAAATAAACATATTATATGGGGATGAAGTCAACCACTTCAAAAGTACTCTTGTAACAACTGAAATACTGATGTACATGTATATACCATTGGACATCATAAATTGAAACAAATATTTTCCGTTGGCAAAATGGCAGACATCAGATCACATTTTACATACAGAGTAACAGCTCTCAAGTCATACTGTTTTGTCCCACGTTTTGTAAGAGCTCAGCTGAAACTCTGTTCAGTTTTGGGTATGAGAAAGACAAGCTGGAGTCAGTCTAGAAGAAAGTGATTTTAAAATCACTTGGGAAAGATTAAAAGACTTGGGATTGTTTAGCTTAAAAACTGATTGGGTACATGACAAAAGACGACAAACACTTTTAGAGAGAAGAGAATAATCTGTTCTTCTTCCCATGATGGATAGCACAAACAAGAATAACAGGAAAAATCTCCCAAGCCTATGCTTGGGGAAGCACCAGCACAGATTGCCTATGGAGATATGGCAGTCTCTATCAAGGAGGATCAGTAGCAATTAGACAAGCAAGTGGTATAAATGATCCCTCCTTAGGCTAGGTGGATGGACTAGGCAGCTTCTGAAGGTCCCTCCCAATCCAGTTTTTCCATGACTCCTCTTTTTTCCTCCTGACTCAGTGGAACTACATTATTTTTTCCCAATGGTCCTTGTTTCAAGCAGTGGGGAGCAGAATGGTTTGCGTCAGAGAGAAGCTTAGGATGTTTTCCTAGGATACAGTCTGAAGCTGCTAAGGTGAAACGTCCCTAGGAACCTACCCTGCATGACTCCTGTGGAGGTCCCACTCTTGCCACTGAACTATTGGATGGAAGAGGTGTTTTCATTCACTTCAGACCATGGTTTTAAGTAAATGTGGTTATGCTTTGCTGGGAGAAATCATGGCAATACAGATCACATGCAGAAATAGAATTTTATGTGACTTGGAAAATGTGTTGCATGTTCATTTGGGCATTTGAAGAAGTGCTGAGAAGATTGCAGTGAAGACTGGAACCTGTATATGTTGTGCTTGTCTGCTGAACCTGAAGCCTGTATATGCTGTGCGTCTGTCTAGTGCCTTCAATAGAAGAACATAAGGACATCAGAGATTAAAAAAAAGTAGAGGCAACTGGAATTACCAGTTGCAGTGGCATATCCATAGGACAACTAAAACAAACACCTGACGCTGACTGCAATCCTTATGTAGAACAGGATATTCTCTGGGTTCAGCTAGTACTAAATAGATGCTAATTGCATAATCTGTATGTTTAATAAAATATTTATTTCTTTATTTTAATAAATTAAACAAATAATTAATCATTAATTATATTACATAATAATATAAAATCTATAAACAATAAATATTTAATTCATTAAACATATTTAATAAACCTAGTGTATATGCAAACTCCAAGGAGGAAATGTGGCTCACTGTTGGTCTGCATATCTGCATATCCTCTCTGATATGGTACAAATGACACTAAACAGATGCCTTTTCTGAAGTCAGCTGCAACAGGGTGAGGCTTGTGCAGATCCGTAGAAGGTCAGACTTCTCACACATCACAGGGTAGTTGCTCTTCAGGAACAATGTGACATTTAGCACTGAGTCAAGAGAAACATAATGGCCTAGGCAGTGCTGTATTATTGTGTTGATGACTAGGTGTGCAGTGGCATTTAAAAAATGAGCACTGGCTTTTTAGTGCTCTACAAACTCTGAACCCGGTCCTTTAAAGCCTCCATGCGTGGAATTCACATTGACTTGTGTATATGGAGGACTAGCCAGGTCAAGCCTGAATATTAAATAATAACTTGTCATTCCTGATGTTGCTGCTTAGAGCTGGCATCATATTGTTTTGTTTAGGCAGAAACTGTTAAAATTTTTTTCATACTCTGGGTTTTACTAACTGAGAAGACTAATATATTTAAAACAATTATTACAGAAGGGAAACCTACACTCTTTTTTAACCCGCAAAAAAGCCCCAAACCTGAACAAGAATAACACTGGCAAAATCTATAAACAAAGCAATTGCTGAAACAAATAGTCAATGTTAAAAAGAATATGAGGCCATTCCAGAACAACCTCTATCTTTTTAGACAGTCTAAACAGGCCGGCTACAACAACATGAGGAATTTGGCTTTTCCAAGCTACAACATATTTTTCTTTTTTTAGCAGCCAAAAAGCTCCGTAGGCAAGGAGAGCATACAGCCAAGTTTTATATACAGTGAAATAAATTGTAGAGGTGTAGGTGTTAGTGGAGCCTGAATACAATGAACTACTAGAGGTGGGGAAACTGTGTCTCCTGGTCTCCAGGACTCTGCAGTTTATCTCTCTGTGATGCATATGTTGAAGCTGGACTGAAATTAACTTCTGCTGAAGGCAAGATTTGTCCCTAGAGGAGGTTAGCTCTAGAAACCGTAGCAATATACACAGTTTATTTGTTCCACAGGGAAAATATATTAAGAACCTGTAGCTGTGGCATGACTCATCTACTCACAATGTACAAGGAGCTGGAAATTCCTCCATTTTACGAAAATAGAGCACGTCCCTTGAGTATCTGGAAAACAGACGTAGTGGTTTTACATCAAGCAAAGTCTTGCTTGTCTAAGCCAGAATGAGTAAAAATGGAAGTGCAGGGATAGAATGACTGCTGATTTCTAGAAAACTGGAGAACTGCAAATATAATTGACTGAAAGGTAACATATAGAAGCAGCATACTTTTATGTAGTGGTTGATATACCTATTATATTGATTTTTTTTTTTCAACTAGAGCTTAACACATGTAAACAGAGTCCACAGTATTTAGTAAATTGTGCTTAGTTGGAAACTTAATAACTAAAAGATGAATAGTCCATGAGCAGAAACACTACAGGACCAGCCGTTGTTACATGAATGGCAGATGGCATGAGCAGCCTTGCAAACTTTAAGAAGCTTGTTTTCCATTTGAATGAGAATAAATAGAAAATGTAATGAAATGAGGTTGCTCTTTCACCATTCATGGGTTGGATCCAACTCTTCCTGAAGTTGATGATGGTTTTGTTCCATGTAGAGTGGCCACCTGTTGTAAATGGTTAGCCGAATTCCACTTTCAGGTATGTTTTAGGGAAGAATCTGGGGAGATTGTGACTCAAGGCTTGCTTTAGAGCAAGGCATTCAGTCTCATTTCCCAACCCTACACAAAAAGAGAGTTAATTCTTATTTCTGGGGTTTTATTTCCTTCAGGGTGATAATGTATCTGGTACTACTTGTGCTTGTTCAGCACATTATTACCCTAGCTTGGCTGGTGTCCCTGGGCAGTGCTCTCTGATACATGACATTAATAATATTAATGATGAGAAAGAAAGATCACCATTGGCATTAGTTCCCTGTTCTGTGGAGAGGTTGAAGGTGTGTAAAAGGCTGGAAGGTATTGGTGCTGTCTTTCCTCTGCGTCAGGATTAAGGCCACTGAGGAGGACAAACCTGCCATTCTGCTGTGCGTAGAGTATAAATCCAGAGTTTTTTAGGTCATGTCCATTAAAAGCACCACATTTATTTGTGGTGTAGCAACAGTAGCAGTACTAGTTGAAGTAGAAGCAGCAGTAGTTGTAGTAGTAGTTGCAACAAATGTTCAGGCATTAACTGACTGGCCTTTTTCAAGGGAGTTATCACTGGGGGCTAGATGAAGGAGGTGTGTGGGTAATGTGGGGTCTACTAGCCCCATCACACTAATTCCCTCAATTGCTGCTCTTATTAATCTATTTGGTTATTACGTTAATCTCTTTGACTATTTCATTAATCTCTTTGGCTACAGCTAGAGTTAATATTAAGACAATTTTTCTTTTGTGTACTTCCCCTGGCTGGGACTCCTCCAATTTCTGGAGCATTGCAATAGCTTTTACAGCAGCTTTGAGAATACCTCCACTGAGATATGCATAATATGTTATTTACTGAGAAATTCCTAAAGAAAAAACCTGGCCTTTAAAATAAACTTTACTAGACCTAGGCAAACAGATTTAGAAACACTAGAGCCAGAGAATTTTCATCTGCATGAAAAGATTCTTTTTTTTTACCAATCAACAACTGTGCTTCATGGATAAGCCTCAGCAGAAGAAAATATTTCCATAGCTGTTACAGCTGCTCTAAAGGGCTATTGCCAATATCTGGCTTTCTGCTTTCTTCTCAGTGTTTTGCAACTTCAAAATAAAGTTATTTCTTTTCTAAATATCCTCTGAACTGGAAAATATAACCTCCAGGATTTCTTCCATGATTTTCTGTACACAGGCAAGCTGAACAAACACAGGGCTATTCTAAGACGGAAGCTTTTTCTTTTGTATGAATGCAGGTCTGATGATCAATGTAAAGTGTCCTCCTATCCAAAGCACAAAGATTTTGGTGGTCTGAGTTCTTCTGGTAAACACATTTGCTTTTCTGGAAGGCAGTATGGAATTTCACATAGGCTCTGCTTAGGAAGGAGACTGCACTTAAGTTTTGTGTATACTTTGGAAGATGGTAGCCAGTGTATTTAAACATATTAATTGTCACTTCATTCCCAAGATGTCATGTCAGTTCCCAAGAAGGTTCTGACGAGAAGGCCAACAAGGACCAGTCATAGTTTCACTCTCAAGGTTAGCTGAATGTGTTACAAATACTAGCACCACAATTAGCATTGATTACACTGACTGGTAGCACTGGTGTGAGACAAGTACAGACCGCAGCTGAGCAGGGACACAATTAAGCTTGGGAAAAGCTACTTTAAGTCCTCTTTTGCAGAGCTGTTTGCAGCCTGCCATACCATGCCATGTGAATGATGCAGCAAATTGTTCAGTGCATCAAGGAAGAGCTTATGTGGTCCATGCACCTTGCTTTCCTCCAGCCTCTCTTGACTCCCATTCAACCATGCCGCCACTCAGGGTCTGTTTTCACTTCTCAGAAATTACTTTACCTATCCTGTTTTGTTTTGACATGTACACAGCTGACTCTTTGATCAAACTTCATCTTGAAAAAACCCTCTGTGCATGTAAC